ACATTTTCCAGCAAGACAACGTTCGTCACCATGTTGCCAGAGCTACCATAGCCTTTCTTCAACAACACAACATCAGTGTTCTACCGTGGCCAGCCCTCGGCCTTGATCTGAACCCCATCGAACACTTGTGGGATGAGGTTCAAAGGCGTCTGCACAATGTGCGCCCAGTCTCTACAACTGCCGATGAACTACGCACAGCTGCTCTGGATGTGTGCAGGAGGATCCCTAGGGTCTTCACAAATCGTCTGATCCACTTAATGTACAGGAGATGTGTTGCAGTGATCAATGCTAATGGTGGTCACACCAGGGATTGACTCACATTTTGGGTATTGACCCGAAACTGTGTAAGCCCTTATCATTTGAAAAAACAATTATGTCATCTGCCTTTTAATCCATAAAACTGTCTCCAGTCAAATATTTGTCAATCTTGCTCTATTAGTATTTCTTGCCTTTACTGTTCAAAATAAATAACATGTATACTGCATACTCGACTTGCGTTTCTTATGCGTGTGAATATGTTTTCTGTGTTTGTTTAGAGGTAGTTATGTTGAATAGGCATGACATGAAGTGCTCATATCGCTCAGTACACTGAGACGTGCGTCTTATCGGTGCACTGACATGGTTACACTTACATGTATCTACACTGCACAGTTATTTGATTCGATCAGTGGCTCCCCACAGTGGCCTTTGTGTTTGTTGTTTGTCAAGTTTAAACATGTTTCAATTGGTGTACACAAAGTTATACGGTCTGCATTTCTCTATGAGAACGCTTGTTTCAGGTAAGACATTTATGATATACGATCTATGACTTGTTTGGCATTGCTATCCGTATATATATCTCAGCGGGAACAGATTGTTAAGCATCCGTTTCTCTCAGGAGTGTACACTACTTTAATGTGGACCTACTTAAATGTTAGATATATAAATATATACGTGGTGAACAGCTGAAGTGAAAACAGGGCGGGGTAGTTGATCTGCGTATAGACACGGGTATCGGAACATATGTACACCCTACATCCTTCAGTGCCGTGAGATCATTAATATAAAGGTCACATAGTGAGATACATCAGCGAAGTCAACAAATAAAAACGACAAAACCCTTTCTATATTCATAAGAAATCTCTGCTAAACTCAAATCCTTGCGACATTGGGTCAGATACCATTAATAAATATGTTGATTAGTAATAGACAATCTAGGTTTTGAATGTAAACTGTTTTAACATTCCAATACAAGCAGCAAATCTCCGACACACACACGGACTAGTCGCCTCGGAGTCTGAGTGAGGTATTCATGTTAAACTGCGGAGTGATATCTCAGTGGGCTAGCACGAAAATATCGGCTTTTGTCCGGACAAGTACCAGCAGTCACACACACACGTGCATGCACGTCCACATCGATAAATAAGTGCAATATTCACTTCACCTCCCCTCAATGCACGCATCACAACATGGCGTCACGTTTTTCCCTAAATACGTGAACACCCTTGAACACACAAACTTTACCTGTTATCAGATCTGGGTTATGAGACCCGCATATCCAGCAAACCTTTTGCACTATACAAATACACCCCCCAACCCTCCCAGTCTACACCGTCAGCCTACTCAGTCTATACAAATACAAACTATAAATAGTACATACCCAACCTGTTATCTCTACAGCTTTCAATATGCAGTCTACACTACATAAAATTAATTGCATTAAGCGACGGTTCAGTGTAGATATCAAACTGGAGAAGGAATGCATGATATGTTGTGACAAGCAGCAGATTAACATAAACAGCAACAGGTAATAGATGGGGTGCTCCCGGTTTCTCAACATTCCTTAAAACAAGATAGACACAATTTTAGGGATAACAACTTCTTTAATACTGTGAAAAGCGACGTTTCGGTATAGATCATATAGTTGCTCGACAACGGTATAAGGATCTATACCGAAACGTCCCTTTTTACAGTATTAAAGAAGTTGTTATCCATACAATTGTGTCTATCTTGTCATCCGTCAACTTCTAAGTAATGCCTATCAAACAATTTCTTAAATCAACAAACCCAGACAGGCGTAGAACACTAGAGGGATTAGTTTGGGTGCACTATTGGCCAGGAAGACAGACAGACAATTGTTTATAAACGTACAACGTACTTCTGTACAACATACTACATACATATATACATAGAACATAGATAAACGTGCAGAACCCCTCAATATGAGTTATGAGAAACGAGGTCACATAAAAATAAATACAAGTAGAATATATAAGTGGTAAAATATATCACGAAGGTAAGTCTAAGCACAACAGGCATTGGTAGGGGTGCTGGTGGGTGAGTCAAGTTCACCCACGTGCCAGATTGAACCGTGTTCAGCAATTTGCACTTATGCCAGGCTCTTATAATAATGGTTTTTTTAATTTCCGCAAATGTATTTGGTGAAATGCTCAGAGGTTTGGACTGCAGACTGAGTATAGCCGTAGCGAAAGTGTTAAACTACTGATCAGAAGAGCTGCTGCCTTGCCATTGGTTCCTCTAGCCCACATAGTTGATGTTTGGCTCAACGCACTCAACGCCGCCCCTCTCCATGATGCCAGAGTTCTCCGATTTACTAACTATGTGACTGAAGTTTGGGTGGAGGGCGATCATGGACGAAGCACCTGGAATCACCACGACACCGTCGGCCCAAGAACGACGAACCACGTAGAGGGCTGGCACTTCAAGCTCACCTCCATCATGGGCAGTCCCCACCCCAACATCTACAGAATTATTGACTTTTTAAAGACAGAACAAGCCTACACCGGTGCCCATATGCTGCAGCTTGTAGGTGGGGGTATGCTTAGACCCAGGAGATCTACGTATCGACATCTTGAGACCAGACTTGATGCAAAACAGAGATATACACAGTTGTATATTCACAAGTTCATCTGTCTTGATCCACAGTTTGCCTCCAGATGCTACATATTATACTGTCACACAGCCGGCTCTTTCTGATGGCAAGCACCCCTTGCATCTTGACCGCGAGTTACGCCCTCACGTCGCTTGACGGCGAGCTGTGTCCATACGTCTTGCCACGAGTCCCGTGCCGGTCCACGCTACGAGTCCCGGACACGACACAACCAATTACACACTACTTACAGTGTCTGATACCATTCATGTTACAACCATGAATAGGTTAACATACATAATGGAGCAACTTACATACGGTAGGCTGACATAATGCGTACAGTCAGTATAATCAATAAAAGTATAACACTCACGCCACCAAAGCTAGGGACATCACACAAACCTAACAAAGACACACAGTCCAGACACATGGTCCAACCTGGTCAACGTTTCTTCAGTGACTGCCCAGAATTAAGATTCAAATTGCCAAATTGCATGATGGTTATATGTACAAAGCATGTGTAGCGGCCATCAAATTTCTCGTGAGTTCCGTGATGGGATTTGAACCACGGACCTTCTGATCTGAGGTCGGACGCCTTGTCCACATGACCAAAGAGGTTAAACCCCACCAACAAGCTGACAAGGTAAGGATGTCATCTGGAAGATGACTCCACGCCCTGCTACATATACCCACCAGAAGGCACGTCCCTGGCCGCATAGTAGGCTACTGAGGCTTATTTTGCTTAAATGTAATATGAACGTGCTCAGTCCCACGTTGGGCGCCATATTTGAAGCCGGGGTGGTGTATTTGATCGGGCTCAGGCTGTTGGAGAACACAGCCACAGGCAGATGATAATTATGCTTTTATAAAATGACGGAAATAACCTGAAGAATAGATCATATCCTTCCTCCTCAACAGCAGAACATGAAGTCAGATACATTGAGAATAACAGGTATTAATATTAAATATAGTACAAACCCATTTTGTAACCATAATACAACTAGTAGTCATTTAACATTAAAATTATATAATACTTGAAAAAGCACATGGGATAAAATGGACCATGCGGTTAATTATTTTACAAATTAGTTCTATAATATTGATTTAGTAATTTAATATTACTTTCAATGATATTTTATATGTTATTCAATTTAATTCAGTACCCTAATATGAATATTAATTTCTGACGGAGGCAGATGAAAACAAAATGAACAGTGTCCATTCCATACCTGAAGAAAAGAACAACCCTTATCCACAACAGCAGACATATGAAATGAGGATGAAGTCAGGTATGGAAGGAAGCTATCTGTAGAGAACCAGCGTGGCCAATTAGAAGATAGATTGCATTTAGCATCAAAGGAAGCGCTTAATGCAAGATGTAATTAGACCCTACAGGTGTGAAAAAACGTCGAGGTTGAAGAGATTCCCAGAGATTGAGAATACAAGTGTCAAGTACTTTAAAGAGTTATTTACTGACCACGACAAACAATGAACAAAAAGATGATTATGATGATGATGTATGAATAATGATGTATATAGCAATGCACCCCCCGTTTGGGAAATGGTGCCCTCACCATACACAGCTGATAACAGACGACCAGCCAAGGAAAGGAGCAGGATAATGAATGGTTGCCGAAGGTTGAACCTGAGAAAGCAATAAAATGTGCTCAAACCATATATACAGTGGACTAAATAGAGAACTATACCCAAGCCATCTTCTGTTTCACCACCCACTGACCATCAGCCATCCACTTTGGTTTCTGGTATGACCTGCCAGGCCTCGTAACCACTGGTGGGGTGACCGAAAATGAATCTGGGCCAACAGGTGCAGAAGTAGAAGGGTTGAAAGGCACCCGGGAAGTTGAAGATGATGGCGTCGTCGAAGATGGAACACCAGATAATTGAGCTGGTGGTGACCTTGGAAACGAAGGAGTTTCAAAATGCTGACCCAATGGAGAACCCCCAGGCACTGGAGATAAAGAAATTGTCACATCCATGTCGGTTGTAGAAATCTCCAAAGTGGTGTTAGAGGTATCACCAGGTACAGCGGAAGCTCCTAGAGAAGGCTGAGGGCTCCGAGGTTTTGGAATTGGACGGCCATCCAAACCAATTGGAAGAAGTAAATAGCGGTGCAGTACACAATGCTCCCTGGTGCCTTCCTTGCAGATTTGAAACACGGGAACATTGTAAGTCAGCTGTGACTCTGCCACATAGAAATGTTCCTCCCTTCGGTCGGCAAGCTTTTGTTTCCCAAGAATGTTGACGTTGCGGACTAACACGACATCACCTACCTTGACAGTAGCACCACAGGCTTTATAAGTCTTCCCCTGTTTGGCGCGGGTCGGGTCCAGATTTTGAGAAACTGCATATAAGATGGCGATGAAGTGGTGGCAAGAGACGTGCCAAAGGCAACATCAACAGAAAGTCTAGGATGTCTGCCAAACATGAGGAATAATGGGCATGAACCCAAAAGACAAGGTACAGTTATAGGCATGGACCACATGAGCAATATAGTCCTTCCAACGGGCCTTTTCCTGAGCATCCCAAGAAGTGTTCGGTTAAACTTATCACATAACCCGTTCCCCATGGGGTGATAGGGAGTTGTCCTGCATCCCAAGAATTGCAAGAGCATACTTGGTGAAGTGGTCAGTAACGGCCAGAACATTTGAGTAACTTCCAGATGAAGGTTCCAGACTGAGATAGTCGACACACACCATTTCCATGCTCAGTGAGAGCTCAGTCTGATTAGCGGTTTTCCGAAGAATGCACCTCTGGCAGCTATGAATGTGGTTCTCGACATCTCCCATCATTCCTCGCCAATAAAAAGTCGTCTCAAGAAGACATCATGATGATGAGAAATGAAGGATTCTTGTTGCTGCTGTGGAACAATGAGCTGAAAGTAGGGATGATCACCTTATGTAGTCTGTTTCCTTTAAAGGTGATTGTTAGTGATGGGAAGAGCATCCCACTGCCCGAGGATTGAAGCTGTGTCACGATCCAATGACTTAAGAGACTCCTTTGATGGACGCTGATCTTTGCAGAGAAGGTCCTCAAATCATGCAGTTAGAGGGGTCCACCTGCTGACAAGAAAGCTTATCTGCTGATCAGTCCCAACATTGGTAGACTCGAAATCGTCAACCGCTAAAACACAGTTCAATACCTCGTGTCAAAGTGAGAACGTCTCTACAACACCAGATGACTGCTGACTGTTGCAAACCGCAGACGCATACCTCTTTCCATTCTTTAGCCAGGGTGAACTCAAGATATAGCTCTAATTTTAATAGAGCCTGGGCTGCTGTTCTTTGGATGGCTGCACCAGTGGTGTTATTTCTAGCTCGTTTTTATTCATGTACTGCAATACTGTTTTAGGTATACATCTGTCACTAGGAAGCCATTTTTAGCGTGACGTCGTCCCCTAGGCGATTGACATTGGTCAATCAGAACACTCGAACCAAAAAGGTCTAATCATAAGTGGCTGTTTTCTTCTGCATCAACTCTGAACATTCGTAAGTTAATTTGCATTCATTCTAGCTTATTCCTTCTGGCGCTTATTTGGCCCATTGTATTACGATTTGACTGTAAACTTAAAACCGTGTGTTTAAATAAAAATGTAATGATTAATCAGGAGAACTGTGGGTCATTTACTGATTTCACAACTTTGTACTGTGCAAACCGACTTTATGTTAACATTGTAACAGAACACTTTCGTTGTTCATAATAAAATGTACACTATACCAACCACAATGTCCTCAAACCACCTTTTATCACACACTAAACATAATACAATATACAGAATAAATGTTCACAATAAAATGTACCATACCATCTGTACATTGTTGCAATGTCATTTCAGATATTTGCAAACATGCATATGTCTACGAATCAACCTGAGGCAGGAGATAAACGGAAGGTAGAAATTGTAGAAGGAGGTGACCAAGGGGCTTTCTCCACAAAGCAAAGTCGGCTCAAGAATGGGGATCAATCTGGTAAGTCGTATATTTAAACTGAACCAAAAGTTCTAAGTTTGAACGTGAACAATTGTAACATTGTTCCCTTAAAACAGAATAACCGAATGTATGTGCATTCTTAAAGTTGTAGGGGCGGTGGGGTAGCCTAGTGGTTAAAGCGTTCGCTCGTCACGCTGAAGACCCGGGTTCGATTCCCCACATTGGTACAATGTGTGAAGCCCATTTCTGGTGTCCCCCGCCGTGATATTGCTGGAATATTGCTAAAAGCGGCATAAAACCATACTCACTCACTCACTCTTAAAGTTGCTACATTCAAGGCACTCAAGGCCTTAGATAAGCTGTCAAAAATGTATTCCCTTGTTTGTTCAATGTCCTTGTGACGGGCACCACCGGTGTGGCAGGAGACACTCACCTTTTCGCGAACACCTGGTTCATGCATAGGATATAGTCAAAATAGTACAATGGATTGTGAATCGTATTATTTCGTGTGATCTTGGAAAGGATTTTGTCACTTTATTTTGTAAATAATTTGACAGGTAATGTCAACCAGAGATAAGTTCTTTTTTTTGTTTTGACCATGAATGGTACAAGTTCAGAATAATCTCCCTCTGCCACATGCTCTCGTGGGAGCCACCCAGGTCCTACAGCATGGGTCGTTGCTTCTGCTATTGATCAATGGTTTGTCTTGTGCGAAAACGATTATTTACACATTGCTGTGATGTAGCTAGAATACTGCTGTATAATGTTCACTCTCTCTGTGGGAAAATACTTCTGCAGTAAGATGGATCTGTCCGTGTAAGTCTGTAATTTAAGTCGACTTATAGACATGGTGAAGGCTACAAGGCTAAAACTGTCATCGTTTTGCAAAATAGATATTTGCCATTTCAGTTAAGATCAAGAGTTTTCAAGTTTAATGTTGATAAAATAAACGACTGTGTGATAGGAACGACATTTGGTTACATCTACTTAGAGGAATCGATATATTTTGCTATTATTACTTTCAGGTACCTCAAGTGGCCCAGTGTGAGTATTTCATGCATGTCTTTGCTAATGTGTTTAGTGAAAAAAAATAGTTCAATGTAACATTTAACCAAAGTGCCTTCTTTACAATAATGCATAGCGCTTTTGTACAAACATTATGCATTCATTTTCTGTGACACTTATCTGTTGTATATTGTCAAAGTACGTACGAAGACACCTTATAAATTTTCATTCGAAGTCGTACCGTCATGCATTGGGGATTAAATGAGTAAGTAATAGTAAATGCACGAGTTTTTGAAAGGCATTTAGAAGTGATACACATAAGGAAGAGAATTTATGGATGTCAACTCCTTTATCATTAGGAACACAGCGTTTCGGATCATATGCTCACTCCTTCATCAGGTGAATGAATGCTTACTTACTTACTTACTTTGGAGATTTAACGTGCGCTTTCCGACTGATGCGTATTTCGCACACGGGCCCGGCCAGGCCATTTAATGTGTTTCCGAAAGGGGTGAAGGTGGTCTGTGCAACCCAAGAGGGGGCTTTAGCGGTTGCTTATATATAATTTTGGAATTTTGAGATTTGGAATAGATGCCAATGGGGTTGGGGAGGAGAACTAAGGGAGCTGGGTATGGTGGATGTTTGTTTGTTTATGTGATTTTGATTAGGTAGGTTATTATGTTTTTAGATGCGTTTTATTAGTTCCGTTTTGATTAAGAATACGCCTAAGGCCTTGCAGTTTTCTAGTTTATTTTGTGGGTTTAGTATTGCTTCTAAAGTGAGAGCCTTGTTTAGATTGAGGGTGGTTTGTAATGCGGTTCGATGTGTTAGGTAGTGTGTGCAGAATGAATGCTATGACGCTGAGAGTAATAAGATAACAAAAGTGGGAACTTAACAAGGGAAGTCAACAGATAACTGGCGCTTATAGGTGATTAGCAATAGACAACACTTTATAGTAATAAGCGCTGATGGAAGCCAGGACTTAAATTATCACTGATTAGTAATTGGCAATGGGCAAACGGGAGGGCGGGGTGTAATTGGCACTTAGAGGTAAAACAATAGAAAGGGATATGGGCAAATGGATACCAGCTAGATAATAAGCACAGACAAAGAGAGACTAAAGCAATAAGTCCCAAGCACGAGGCAGATAGTTTCCCTACTCACAGTTCATGGCTGGGTGGTGTCTCCTGATGCCAATGGCTTCTTGTAGCTTTCTTTGTCGCAAGTTATTGTTGTTGGAGTAATGTTGTGTTCCTAATAATAAAGAAGTTGACATCCATAAATTCTCTTCGTCAGTAAATGCACGGATATATATCATACATATGTGAATGTTTTCATTCTGCAGACAAGATTCCAGTTCAAAGGTAGGCATTGTTACCTCTGGCAGAGTACCCCAATTGCACTATCGACTCTGCTTTATGTAGAGATTTCTATCGGCTATGGAAATGGTTTTGTCGCTTTATTTACACTCTTCAAAAAAAAGAAACGCAAAGGTAGATTTTTAGAAATTTACTGTACCTAATAAAGTCGATATATTTAATAGCACAGATACAAATATGAAATTTTGGAGCTCAATAGTCACATGTTGCCGTTGTACAAAGGCATTGAAAACTGTTCATTGTCATGTCACAAAAGGCCACAAGGTTGCGCTCCCCGGGCAGCAATCACGGATCTGCATCTCCTCGGCATTGACTGGATAAGTTTACGAATTCTGTCCTGCGGAATTCCGCGCCATTCTGCTTGTAACGCGTTGGCCAGTTGTGTGAATGTCTGCGAGATCTGGATATCTCAACGGCCAGGGAAAGCCGTTGATGTTGGCATTATGCAGGTAGTCTACCGTGACACGAACTGTGTGCGGTGGAGCCTTGTCCTGGCGGTCTCCTCCCATTAGTAAGACAGCCCAGTTGTGAGACACCTTAAAACAACAATGTCATACCTGGTTGCACATGATAATCAGGTAATTAACCCCTATCATGAAAATGGACTTGTCTTATTATAGACAAAAGAAATGACTCAAGATGCTTGATACCCTCTTTTACATTATTTCATTCAACATTTTAATTCATCCATCCCTTAAATCCATTGTTTTAACATATTCGCCACTTAGAGTTCAGTTAAAGTTAATATCACAGTTCACATCGAGATTGTCACACTGACACAACCTTAATCCATCTTCAGAAGTTTGCCAACAGCATCCACGAACTGGAGTGGTGTCTTGACACCCTGGGATAGCTGATCCTTCAGTCTGGAAAGTCGATTGTCAATCTCCTTGTACACACACTTTCTTGCTGGTGGAGCTGCACCTAGGTCTAAGTGAGATAGCTTGGTCTTCTCAGATTTCTCAATCTTCTTGATGATCTCGATGAACCTGTAGAGATTAGGATGACGATGATTCAGTGATGCAGTGAGGCGACTGCGGAAACCCTCCAGGTTGTTGTTGGGCCTTGGGCCGAATGTCTGGTGATGGTTCCACAGCAAAAGAGGGAATCTGGCTTCATAATCCACCCAGTTTGTGACTATGTAGTCGTTGAATTCGTCAGCATTCGGTACATCGGGAGACTGGTTCATGGAGTCAATCCATGCATCCTGAACCTGTTGAAGAGGCAGCAGAGGCAAGGCAGCAGCTCGTCGGATCCACTGGAAGAAACACCCCGAAACACGCCGACTGAGCTGAAGGAGGGAAATATAGCTGCAGCCTCCGGATCATGTATCAAGACCTCGTCGTTGTAGAGGGCTGGCATGGGAGTTGTTGGTTCTTCTCTTGCTCTCTTCCTTAAGCTGCCAAGTAACTGGATTCTGCTGGTGTCTTCTGGTTGGTGGTTGTGTACAGTGAAATTTCTAACAAAATTTCCAACTGTTGTACATTTGCCAATGCAGGTCTTAACGGTACATCGCCAATGAGTACCAGTTTGTCTTACTTTGTTCTTGTAGTGGAGATATCCCTGAAAGAGAACCTGGAGAGTACCTCTTTGACTGCTAATGAACTCAACCTGCGGCAAACCTGCCATGATTGTGCATGAATTGTTCACAGACTAGGGGGAATTTATATGTGTAATAAGTAAGTTTTAACAAAACATGCATCTCAACTTTTTGAGTAAGCTCCTACAAGCTCCTAACTCATTTATTTCCTGAGATCATTCAAACAGAATTAATGGCCTACTCTTATTAATTCATCCGCTAATCATGGGCTGTGACCATTGTTAAGTGGGTAGACTGGCTGTGTTTGTTTAATTAATCCCACCTACTCCACTGTCTTACAATGGGTGTCTCACTAATGGGATGTAACCGTCCTGGCTACCGAAATTGTCGAATTCACGTACACAATGTAGGGCAAAACGATCATTTTGACGTCGATAAACACGTTGTCTTCCATCTCGCCGGTGGAGAAGAAATCGTGATTTATCGCTAAGCCACACTCTTCTCCAGTTTCCCGAATTCCAAGGCTATTAGGTATAGCACCAACAGGGACGATAACTGGTCTACTGGGTCGGATTCGAGCCCCGCGAAGATGGTTCCTGACAGTCTTGTCCGATATCCTCCTCAAACCAGTGATGCGTCCTACAGTCTCCGTAGCTGCGATGACGTAGGCGGAACAGTCGAATGTAGCGATCCTGTGCAGGGGTGGTAACTCTTGGTTGGCCGGTACCCGGGCGGCTTGCAGCGGAATTGAACTGTGTATATCGGTTCCAAAGGCGGCAAATGGTGCTGTGGTGGACGTTGATTCTGCGATTCTCCTCTATTTGGATACGTCCTATGGCTATGTCCCGATTGGGAGCGCTTTGTCTCGGCATTTTCGAACTTGACAAATTATGCTTCCTTTTTATAGCCACTACCACGAATTACGAATGCCATATAACTTGCACGTGCATTTTGCTTTACTGTTTTCCTGCATGACATATTTGAACAAGTTTAAAAACAATGCCGTTTAAGACATTGCAAATCGACAATGGCTGCGTTTTGACGCACCGTTTGTCGAACATCGGGCAACCAACATTTTCCAATAACATATATCCAATTTATATACCGGATTTATTGTGTAGTCAGGTTTAGTGAACGACATACTACCAGTGCGTTTCTTTTATTTAAAGAGCATATGTCATTGAATATGCATGTGTATAGCTATTATATATAGATATATATTCCGGTGGAGGCGTAATGGACATATGCAATGATCTTTCGAGATTGCATTCGTGTGTTTTTATAACCATTTGCTGATATTGACAAAGTTTATAACGTTCAACGAACATTTTAAGGACATATACAATATATTGTTAAACCCAAGGAAGGACCTGATTCAACCTTATTTTATTCTTAGATCTTCCAAGACCCTGTTCACGGAACTATAACGGTGACGGGTTTGTGTGTGAAGATAATAGACACCCCGCAGTTTCTGAGGTTGAGGTATTTGAAGCAACTTGGAGGAGGTTACTTTGTATACCCGGGCGCAGCACACAACAGGTTTGGACACAGCATCGGGTAAGTTATATCGCAATGGCGATGTCAAAAATAGTGCCAATAAAACCCTTCCTTGAGCATATTCTGAGGACATGAATAACTTGCCGAACATAGCTTGTTAAAAGTTGTATTTTTTTCTGTAATTCTTAATACGCGTACCGATGTAAACTTTGTTTGTTACAACAGAACCTACTATCTGGCTGGAACATTTGCTCGGATTCTGCAACAGGAATATCCAGATTTGAAGGACGATGAAATCAAGTGCATTGAAATAGCAGGACTGTGCCACGATCTCGGTAATTAGTAGACTTTTTTTCAAAATCACAATACATTTTGATCTCGATACAGGCTATTTCAAAGAGGAAAGAAAGTTAAATAAACATTTCTATCGACAGAAATATTCTGACACGACACGAATATGTGCACTAGATGTACGCTTTTGTTCTTTAAGGACACGGCCCATTCTCCCACGTCTTTGACAACTTCTTTATACCTCGTGTGGTGCCAGGCAGCAAGTGGAAGGTATATACACTTTATGTCCATAGGGGGATGTCATTTCTGTCACGAGATGAAATGTAACAATTCCTGTACCAAACAGTAAACGTTAACAGCAGGCGTTGTTAAATAATCCTTATAATATTTGTAAAATTATGAAATTCAAAAGATCAGCACGCTTAAGTACAACATGACAAGTAAATGACAGTTTGGGATGTGGTGATACTCGACACCAAAGCATTCATCTTAATATAAGCTTAATTTTTTACACATTCTCATTGTACAATATATGTTTCAGTCATTTGATCAGATTCGCATTGATTGTGATATGTATTGTGTGAGCCACTTTTCGTAGGATATTAATTAAATGAACAAAGTGGCATTAAACTAAACACAATTACTCATATTGTGAGAAGAGTGGAAACATATTTGGGCAATGAAAACATGTTAATAAAGACAATAAAACTGTTAACAATATGAAACAGATGGATTTTCAACAGAATCGACTGATAATTAAGTACGACAGTTATGGTTACAGTCTGTATGGGCACACATAACAGACAATGGTTATAGGGGAAACAATTAAAGAAGTTGATTTCGTTTACTTCAATTGTTTCAGCATGAGGATGCATCAGTAATGATGTTGAAATATTTACGTGGAGAAAATATCGAAGTGAAGAAAGCCTTTGATGAGTTTGATAAAGATGGGACTCGTCTCGAGCTCATTAAGGATCTCATCCAAGGCGGGAAAGGAGAGTTAAGTATTTTTATATTCCATGGCGAGCTCGCACAAACTATGTTTCTTATTTTGTTACACTTTGTAGCTTCCCATGGGACTAGATACCTGTCTGTCAGACAAATGCAAGAATAGTGATATAGTAAGATAGAAAGTAGCTACCCATGGGACTAGATACCTGTCTGTCAGACAAATGCAAGAATAGTGATATAGTAAAATAGAAAGCAAACATAAAGCAAACCATAGAGGTGAGTAAAATGGACAGCCTCTGTGGTCCATCGGATAGAGCATCTGCCTGGTGAGTGGAGGGTCGGCCCCAGCCCACGCTATGTCACAAGACGCTAAAAAATGGTATTTGTTGTTACCCTGCCTGGCGCTTAATGTTAAAGTGCGCCATGGTATCTCAGTGGGCCACTATACAATCGGCATTAGTCTGGACTATGAGCATCCCACACAAACACGCACAGTTTGTCACCATGTTAGAGCAATATCAACGATCCCGACGTCAAATCTCACCTCACCCTAAACATACTGATGTATAGAAGTGTACCATGTGTTTGCCACTTGTGAGCATCTTTTACAATGTTATATGTTACAGGATCATGTGAAAGATGAACGTGTGCTCGAAAAGAGGAAAACAAGGCCTTTTCTTTATGAAGTAAGTATTTCATACAACCGGCAATATTTAGGGAAATATTAGCAGTAATGGTTTGTTGATAATTAAATGAATAAATACTAAAATATGAAGTTACCAGGACATAAGCACATTTTCCGACATTGTTACCATCTTCAGATCTTTATTCAGTACAGTACAGGCCACAGGCCCTTTGTACAAAATGTATGGCATATTTATGGCAACAGTCACAATGATAAAATACGTGTTCTCACTTCTTTACTGTGATACAGATATTTAGCGATATTAATAATCAGCTTTGTGTTCTAGATAAAAGAATGTTAAACTTATGGACATTTGGGTGTAAATAATATTTTGAAGGAATATAGAGATGGCGTAGGTGGGTGTATGCAGGGCACACTAGCAGGAAATGAAACTCGTTTTCTATTAGGCCAACTTGACATAGTTTGCAAAATCTATTTTCGCGAGGGATATTAAGTTTTCTACATGTTTCTGTTTCCAGCCAGTGTGCGCTGCATCTAAACCTTGACATACATGACCGGTATTTACTCACGGTTACACAATACAAATATTCTTTACACTTCAACGTTAATTTAAAATGAGAAAACAAGGACATTTTGGAGCTATTACATAAACTTCTATGCCATATTTGTTGCAAATTATCTTTAAAACGTTGAAATAACATCGAGGTAAACACCTGTACGTTACCGGGTGATTGTGATAACCAAACATGACCGAATCCGAGTGAAAATAACGTTGTTCTAATATCAGTAACCCAATTCTTCTTTCCTTGACTATCGTATAAATACATCATTTCATAGCACGTTTTAGGTAAGCGGATACCCGGCATACACATTAAACGTAGCCAATATTTAAAAGCTCTCATCATTGATGTGCAAAAAGGAATCTGCCACATTCACCCAATACATCTTGTCAAATCTCTCTGTGTTGGAAATCTAAGATATAAACATTAGTGTATGATACATGTTTTTATCACCAGATTGTCAACAACGCCAACACGGGAATTGACGTAGACAAGTGGGACTACTTTGCTCGCGACTGTCACATGATGGGCATGAAAAATAACTTCGACCACGAAAGGTACATGAAGCTGGCGCGTATAATCCTCGTCGAAGAAGAAGATGGCAAAGTGCCCCGGATCTGTGCAAGAGACAAGGTAATCCACCAATCTGCATTGGCTATAGCCTTAGTGTTGAGGGACTCATAACAGGTTACACCTTACACCAGTGTACATCGTCATATTATCGCCGACTACAAAAGTTACATCATATTAGAATGGTTAACCTCTCGGCTTTGTGACTATTAACATCATATTAGAATGGTTAACCTCTCGGCTTTGTGACTATTAACATCATATTAGAATGGTTAACCTCTCGGCTTTGTGACTATTAACATATTCATAAACAAGTCTCCCCTTGGTGCAACTGTCCTCATGAGTGGGCTCACCGCAGCTTTGCAGATTTCGAGACCGTACAAGTGATGGCTACAACACATCTGTCCCCATGAGTGGGCTCACCGCAGCTTTGCAGATTTCGAGACTGTACAAGTGATGGCTACAACACATCTGTCCCCATGAGTGGGCTCACCGCAGCTTTGCAGATTTCGAGACTGTACAAGTGATAGATACAACACATCTGTCCCCATGAGTGGGCTCACCGCAGCTTTGCAGATTTCGAGACTGTACAAGTGATGGCTACAACACATCTGTCCCCATGAGTGGGCTCACCGCAGCTTTGCAGATTTCGAGACTGTACAAGTGATAGATACAACACATCTGTCCCCATGAGTGGGCTCACCGCAGCTTTGCAGATTTCGAGACTGTACAAGTGATGGATACAACACATCTGTCATGACGCTTTAGAACGGGATATGTACAAGTGATGGATACAACACATCTGTCATGACGCTTTAGAACGGGATATGTACAAGTGATGGATACAACACATCTGTCATGACGCTTTAGAACGGGATATGTACAAGTGATGGATACAAAACATCTGTCATGAAGCTTTAGAACGGGATATGTACAAGTGATGGATACAAAACATCTGTCATGACGCTTTAGAACGGGATATGTACAAGTAATGGATACTAAACATCTGTCATGACGCTTTAGAACGGGATATGTACAAGTGATGGATACAAAACATCTGTCATGACGCTCTAGAATGGGATATGTACAAGTGATGGATACAAAACATCTGTCATGACGCTTTAGAACGGAATATGTACAAGTGATGGATACAAAACATCTGTCATGACGCTTTAGAACTGGATATGTACAAATGATGGATACAAAACATCTGTCATGACGCTTTAGAACGGGATATGTACAAGTGATGGATACAAAACATCTGTCATGACGCTTTAGAACGGGATATGTTTACTATCCGTTGTTTGCTATATTGATACTGTACACGTTTAAAGGAATGTTAACACAACACTGATGAATCAGGGTGTAGTTATTGTTAAGACCATATTTGGTATGATTTAGTGAATGCTATTCTTATGTTGACCGAAGTTGGTGCAGGAAGTGTGACCAACACGCCCGTTAATGGGGCATCATACACGTTCACTTACGGACTCCAGCTTCTTTATTCTTGCAATGTGACGTCTCAGATAGGATGGCAGTAAATTTATCAAGACAGTGTTTGACACTCAGTACACTGATACTACAGCTTCTATATGCCACTTGGGGATACCGTAAACGTGTTCGTCCCTGATGGGGGGCGGTCGGGTAGCCTAGTGGTTAAAGCGTTCGCTCGTCACGCCGAAGCCCCGGGTTCGATTCCCGACATGGGTACAATGTGTGAAGCCCATTTCTGGTGTCCCCCGCCGTGAGATTGCTGGAATATTGCTAAAAGCGGCGTAAAACCATACCCACTAACTCACTTGTCCCTGATGGCAGCTGTGACCATCGTGACTGAGTTTTGGGATGAGGTTCTACAGAAGAAAATATCGGGACGCTTAAGCTGTGCAGGAGAACTAACAATGTGACCGGCTTTAGTTCCGTTTGTGTTGACTGCAGGAGGCCGACAACCTGTACGACATGTTTCACACCCGGCTGACGTTACACCGAAGAGCATACCATCACGAAGTTACCCGTGGAGTGGAACTCATGTATGTATAGTCACACATCTTCACATATTGACAAAACATGTGAAAAAACAATGCATGCACTCCAATAACTATCGTTTGTACAAGTAGCTCGTTGATCATTAAAGGGGCAAACTTTACATTATAAATGGCACCCATACTTTGAACATGTTGCATGTCTATTTTCAGGATTGTTGATGCGCTCGTAAAAGCTAACGCAACTGTGCGGATATTAGGACAGAATCGGTAAATGGAGTTTATTGAATTTTTGTTATTGAATTTGGAGTTTCATATTGATTTTTTTTAAACATGACAATAAGGTGAGGTGAAATGAGTTTAATCTCTGAGTCCAAGATTATTGAACTTATATGGCGACGTGCATGCACGTGTGTGTGTGTGTGTATGTGTGTGTGTGTGGCTGCCTGTTTTAGTCCCGTCAGATGGCGATTTTATAGTGCTAGCCCACCGAGATACCTTGCCGCAGTATAACATGAATACCCAACTCAGACACTGACTGACGAGCCGACCAGTGCTTGTTTATCCCCTTTATGCCGAGCGTAAGACAGGGCAACAACAAGTACCAGAGACGAACCAGTCTCGATCTTCCACCAGAACAGATTCATTCCATTGGGCGTAGGAGGCTGAATAGCGGGGGAAATCATATGGAAGGATCACTGTTAATAAGAAATGTTTGTTGTTTAACGCCACACTCAACAATAGTCCACCTATAGGACGACGGTCTGTAAATAATCGAGTCTGGCCAGGCAATTCAGTGATTGACATCATGATCATCGAACACGCAATTGGGATACGATGACATGCATCAACCAAGTCAGCGAGCCTCTCCACCGGATCCCGTCATTTGACTCTGCATGATTAGTGAATGCGCATGTGCTTACAAACTCTAATTTGGATATAATTCAACTTATAAATTATTAAATATACAACGATACAAATGCTTTGTAATTCTCTAGTTTTGTTTCAGTTACCGAAAAATATCTGAATGTATCGAGGACATGGAGGCCTACTCCAAGCTAAATGACAGCATCCTACAACTGGTGGAGCTTCCCATAACACTGGGGACGAGTCCCCAAGAAACTGACTCTGGTGAATATAATGTTTCAGTGTCGTTACTAGATTAAATGAACGTCAAATCTTTCCTTTGTCACATGTACACACAACACAAAATAATCATGTAGTATCCAATCACAGATTGATAATGTTATATTAATACTCGCCCGTTAGAGGAATTACTACTGCTTAATAACAATAAGACTTATTACATACTGGTTAATACCAAAGCGCGTGCTTTTTACAGTGGGAACTATTTTCCTTAATACTGTAAAATAAAAAAGTTGTTATCCATACAATTGTTTCTACCTTGTCATTCGTCAACTTCTAAGTAATGCCTATCAAACAATTTGGAACTGTTTTCATTGACAAATATTGAAAACACTTAACATCCCTGGGCTTATTCAATGGCATTGCGCGACGAGATTATTCATCACCAAGAGGAGCTTATGCAAACACAATCACCACAGAAACCGTTGCTAGGTCGACGACACATGGCCTTGTTTCGGTGGTGTATCTTACAACAATTTATGATGGTGTATTGTGACGTGTTTGTTAATTGTTTGGTGCAGGGCCCTGTTCCACAAAGCGATCTTAGCACGACAGCCGAAGGTCTGTGTTAAAATATGGGAGTTACGATAACCTTAGTGATATGATAGCTTTGTGGAATGGGACACTGAATTCTAAAGTATAATATAATATTAAATAATGTGTCAACCTCTAATTTGTTTAATTTATTTTCTCATGCTCAAATAAAATAAGCTAGATTATTGCTAGATGTCTGCATATATACTCACGACCATACCATTTAAAAAAGTTATAAACGGAAAATTCGCAAGTAATAAGTAAAACACTAGACTCGCTCTCGTATAATACCAGTTGTATGAAACTCGTGAATAGTTCTGCTAGTCAAATACGAGAACTATACACTTGTTAAATAAATTGGTATTCGTGGGAACTTGTTAAGTATTATATATTGATTAAAATATTGACATTGACGTATAAACATTTCGTGGCCTCTTGCCATTGCTTTGTGTAATGTAGGATTTCAACACGTGGATGGAAAGTATCATGAATAGGAAGACAAAAAAACAGTTACACACTGATAACTGCATCTGTTTTAGAGAAGGCATCTAAACATTTGCCAGGGGTGAAATATACATAGAATGGTACACTTATATAAAGGTCATGTCACAAAATGATCAAACATGAAATGTACATATGGAGATGGCTGCCCTTAATATTTAACTGTTCAGGAATGAGCTGTAGAGTAAGAGTAAGGTCTGATCGTCCTTAAGATGCCGTGTCTGAAGCTCAAGTGGAGGCTTCCGTCGAACGTTATGGCCCACATCCGTGTTATAATTGAGCACATCGTGTTATTATTGAGTATATAGTGTTATAATTGAGCATATCGTGTTATTATTGAGTAGAAAATGTTATAATTGAGCATATTGTGTTAAAATTGAGTATATCGTGTCATGATTGAGTATATAGTGTTATAATTGAGCATATCGTGTTATAATTGAGCATATCGTGTTATAATTGAGCATATCGTGTTATTATTGAGTATATAGTGTTATAATTGAGCATATTGTGTTATAATTGAGTATATCGTGTCATGATTGAGTATATAGTGTTATAATTGAGCATATTGTGATATAATTGAGCATATCGTGTTATAGAGATTACTACACGAGTGTCTGTCAGATACCATTTATCTTACAACAAGTTGTTTCAAAACGTATCTAACGAGCGAACGCTGTGGATCATTTCCAGGCACACTTGAAGCAAGAGAAATCATCGGAAGAATCTGGAAAAGAGATTTGTATAAGTGTGTTGGCCAATACAATCTGTCTGCTGCGGACCCCTTTACACAAGTATGATGCTAGTTTTGTATCGCGGTTATCTCACAAATTTAATTGATGAGCAAAGGCCATGGTTTTACAGAGTGGTTCACTTCACAGCGAAATATCAAATCATTGTTAACTTATTGCGGACCTCAAATGAGCGAGCATTAGTTTTGTGTGACGAAAATCCAGTGAAGATTTATAACGTTCATTCCCCATTTGTAGCAATTCATTGAAGCACATTTACTTGTTCATGTACTTTGGTGTAATTTGAGTGAACTGGTACAACACAATATTTTACTTTCAGGATGACATTCCGGGTATTAAAGAAGAAATTCTTCATGCTGAAAAAGAAACAACCTTTGATGGAGAACAGTTTGACATCATTGTAGGTACAACTTACTTTACCAAGTTCGAAATAGTTGAAATAGTCTGCCTGTTACGGTCATGTCTTTGTTTTTGTTTGTTTTGTTTTTGTATTTTCGCTTCCTGAGTGTATGCCAGTTTTTGTCAAACTGTTTTCCAGTTTTAATTTCTTAAATAAAAAGGAAGCACTTTTTGGTATCTGTGAAAGTCTTGATGTTGTCTCCACTTGATTTTTGTTGATATCTGCCAAGATAGGATGGCCAAACATGGTGTTTATGTACGATGCAGAAAATAATGATAAAATGTTGCATATTATTTATCATGTTTTTGCTGTCTCTGTCAAGTCTCTCGAATATTGTTAATGTCTGTATTGGTCCTTGTTTCCCTGAAGCTTTCACTTAGTTAAGTCACTGACATTTGACATACTTTCTGGCATTCGCAGATAGCTTACACATGTTTCAGCCATTTGCTTTAAGTACAAGTATGTTCTTTTGACTCTTTTTTACGGTTTGGATTATCAAGAATCCAGCATTTTGTATTCAGTCATTCGTTGCTTCTTTGTTTTCATAATCACTTCATATGTTTGGGGACAATGGGTAAGTTGAATTGGCAAGAGGAACACGTAATATAGAGTGACCACTCTTGCAGATTTTGGCACATCAAGAAACAGATGCATCTCATATTATATACGGTTCCAATTTGGTTTATTTTGTAGCTGAAGTCTTTCGATTATGGACAGAAAAAAGATGATCCAATAACAAAAGTTTGGTTTTATAACAAATCAAACCCTGAAAAGGCTTTCACCCAGCCAGAAGAACAGGTATGCTAATGTAACCCATTAATCCATCAATGAAGACACGATCCATGTGTTGGGTTGAGTTCTTTACTGTAAAGCTTGATCTCGTGGTTACAACGTTTCGGTCTCGTGGTTACAATGGTTCTGTCCACATTATCACATCCAATATAAAATACTTTATACGACTTTATTACTCTTTACAGGACATACACAATAACTTAATAGCAAAATAGCATTACAACATACAAAACATTAACAAACGGTGAATGCCAAGTGACTGCTTAATTACAATAGAGATATTAACAAAATCTTTTGAACAGTATATTACCATAATCACGATGAATTAAATGATGACAATATATACAACACACATAATTACCCACTATGAGCGGAACCACGTGTTCTCACGAGCAGGTATTAACCTGGTCACCACTGCCGAATCCAACCTACAGTATATCAAATACACCAAATAATACAATAATTAACTGCAAAGACAAAACTGCAAAACGTTTACTATCAACAGTTATTCTGCAATAAATATTCATTTATCTTGGAAATACTAAATTAAAGATGTTGAACTTAAAATCCACCACCAAATAACTTCAAATAAGCACTAACTCTTTGCTATACTACCAACCATAAATACAGGAACTAATGAAATGATAGTGAGTGTGTTTTACCATAAATGTCTGCAAAGTAAATTGTGGGCGTGTAGATCAATACCTCGTGTGTCAACCATGTTGGACTTTACATGCACGACACCTTGATGGCAAACTGTTGATTAAAGTGCGCATGGTTCCCTTTGGCATTACCCGCCCACCGCCTGAAGAGCTACTTGAAGCTGGGAAACGTTGACGGGTGCTTGGTCTCCGCTGCATTACCCGCCACACCGCCTGAAGAGCTGCTTGAAGCTGGGAAACGTTGACGGGTGCTGGGTCTCCGCTGCATTACCCGCCCACCGCCTGAAGCGCTGCTTGAAGCTGGGAAACGTTGACGGGTGCTTGGTCTCCGCTACATTACCCGCCCACCGCCTGAAGAGCTACTTGAAGCTGGGAAACGTTGACGGGTGCTTGGTCTCCGCTGCATTACCCGCCACACCGCCTGAAGAGCTGCTTGAAGCTGGGAAACGTTGACGGGTGCTGGGTCTCCGCTACATTACCCGCCACACCGCCTGAAGAGCTGCTTGAAGCTGGGAAACGTTGACGGGTGCTTGGTCTCCGCTGCATTACCCGCCACACCGCCTGAAGAGCTGCTTGAAGCTGGGAAACGTTGACGGGTGCTTGGTCTCCGCTACATTACCCGCCACACCGCCTGAAGAGCTGCTTGAAGCTGGGAAACGTTGACGGGTGCTTGGTCTCCGCTACATTACCCGCCACACCGCCTGAAGAGCTGCTTGAAGCTGGGAAACGTTGACGGGTGCTTGGTCTCCGCTGCATTACCCGCCACACCGCCTGAAGAGCTGCTTGAAGCTGGGAAACGTTGACGGGTGCTTGGTCTCCGCTACATTACCCGCCACACCGCCTGAAGAGCTGCTTGAAGCTGGGAAACGTTGACGGGTGCTGGGTCTCCGCTGCATTACCCGCCACACCGCCTGAAGAGCTGCTTGAAGCTGGGAAACGTTGACGAGTGCTTGGTCTCCGCTGCATTCTCCGCCCAAGAACATCCCACAGATGATCTATTGGGAATATGTCAAGGGACTTAGCAGGGTAAGCCATTGTCCGTATGCTGTATCGTAGAATATAATCGGTGACGATGTGGTCTGTCATTGTCGCCTTGCAAAATTTGTGCCGATGATTCCAGTGACTTTAACGAGAAAACGCAACATTTTATCAACATATCAATGGACAGTCACATGTCTTTTCACGGTCATTAAATCAGTTCGCCTGTCAATTGGCATACCGCGCATCACCATAACACTACCAACCCATACCGAACATAATCAAGACGTGTAGCCGTGGCATACCTCTCGCCGCTACTTCGCCAACAACGTTTTATATCATCTTTGAATTGGAGACAAAACCTTGATTCTTCTCTTCAGTTTATCTGCTCATTGGGATACTGTATCGGATCCATTTTAAGGATGCGCTTAGCTCAACTGCATTACCATTTGGCAGTTCCAAGATAGGTGCATGCACTTTGGCTTCTGTGTGTACATGCATCGCGTGCTGTTCATGCATAATGTAAAATTTCATTGTGACTAGATGTTGTGTTCAGATGGAACGCCGCGGTATTGTAAATATAAACCTGAACGATAGCTACATTCAGATCGTTAGAATATATATATATATTATGTATATAATAAAAAAAGTATCCTAAAATGCCATTATTTGTAGCTTTGACCAGACTGGAACACTTAAAGTATGTGCATTTTAGATTCAAGTAAAAAAGAACTACAGAGGGTAAATTGTTTACAAGAATAAAGGATGTGTTTGTTATTTAATACATTTAAGTTCCAAATAAATTCTTAAATGTTCAATCCTGTGTTTTGGGCCTGTCTGTGTTTCCAATTATGATAATTTCTGATGATATGCGATCAGCGATTTAATTATTCAAACAATTATTTATAGTAAACTATCAAATAGGCATACAACCTTGTTGATGGAATATTTATATTTATTTTTGAGAAATCATGGATGCTTCCAAAAAGATTTCAAGAGCGTGAAATTGCTATCTATTCCAAAAAGAAGGAGTTCGAGGAAGATATTGCCAAACGTTTCAGGCTCTGGTCTAATGCACGAAAAGAAAAGGTAAATTTGGCTGAACATTCTATATTATTCATATGTTTACATATTTAGAACCAATGTGCTATATCCATGGATACTGTGAACATGTCTTATATTTTAAGTTTTTGCTATGTAATATAGAATGGTGAATATGTCCACTTTAACTATGTAATCTTTTGTTTGAGCAGTTCCCGGAGATTAAGGAACAGATGACACAGATGCCAGAAGCCTCGAACCAGTGAAATGGGAATGCCCTCACAATACAGAAGCCGTGTGACGGTGATAACCGAAGGCCTTCAAAGGCTTAGTGCTATTTAATGTGTAACATTCAATCTTCATTTCCTATCATACTAGATTTTATTCATGGCTGGTGCCTTAATGGTGATAGATATGTAATAGTTGGTTGACATCTGCATGCTGATTAACTCTCTGCCACTGACCACATTCCACTGAAGGAAACGGATCTGTTTCATTGTGTGTTTGAACTCAAACATGTTCTTTACATCCTTCGTTTTGTGCCCTATTTTGGATTCACATCTTTCTTGGTAAATACATGTACATTTATTAAGAAACATTATTTCCTTTCTTACTTACGCTTTTTTTATCAACGTTCCAAGTAACATATTAAATGAAGCAGATAGTTTCATGTAATTGAAACTTTAATTAAGAAATAAGCGACTCGTGGGGGTTGTTTATCGTACAATAAAATACTGGGGGCGGAGAATAAACCATGGGGGGCTACGCCTCATGGTTTATTCTCCCCCCAGTGTTTTATTGTACGTTAAACAACTCCCACGGGTCGCTTATTTCTTATATGAAATATCAACATCATGTACAGCATATTTAAGGATGACGATAAAATGTACAAACTTAAAAAAATATTTACCTGTATTTCAATAGTGATGGCGTGGTCCAACATAAGACGTCATCAATTTGCGAGCACATGTTGGTATCTCCAGAAATGATGTCATGGTAGAAGAATGTTTCATCGTAAAATTAAATACACTTCGTTCTTTATTGTTCTTTGCGATTTATCGCTTTGCTACATGTATGCTATATTCTGCTATAAATGTATATTCGATCTTTCTAAAAGAAACGATAAAATGAAAATAGTTCTTCCACTTTAATTATTTGATGATACACACAAACACACATATGCTTTCGTTACTTCATATCTCGTATATCCAGTCAAACCACAACTTTATATTATTTGTTCTCCCATGTTGATGCTCTGATGAGTCCTTTGTAACATTCTGATTATATTACCAAGCTGCTTTATAAACATATACTGTCTGCTATAGCTAAGGAAAAAAGCAATACAAACAACTACCTTATACGAGAACTCAAAGTATTTGACTACAATGCGCTGTGGTTTCACAGCAGCATATGCATTTAGACACAGCACAAATATATGCAGTGACCTGGCAATCCCATACATGCACACGCGTATTTTGTCAATGTACCTTTCAATATAATATGTTTAATGTCGGATGATCAATGTTGTATGTTTAATGCAGAAGTGCATGCCTTAAATGTAAACACCAGGTCCATTAAAGAAATACAGCAAGTTGACATTTATACATCAGAGACTAAAGCTCTGTCAGGATATAGGACACTGCAATAAAGTGACACAGCCCTTTCCATACCCAACACAAATCGCTGCCTGAAGCAGAGTCGATTGTACGATTCCGACTATACCACGAGCATGTGTTTATGAATCACTATCAAATAGTAAAGATACAAGGGGCTCGAGAAAAGGTGAGCGTATCCTGCCCCACCGGTGGCACTATCACAAACACACGCAAAGGCCAGTAAATTGTTCACCTGAAACAAACAGGGGAACACATGGCACAAGTCAAAATAGGGAATTACATTGGACATAATTTGTGTCACTGATGTGTCACTTTTGGAAATGTCCTCCACATGTCTACCATAACACTTCTTGAAAGCTTTACTGAGGCCTTGAATGTTGTAACCTTGATCGAACAACTTCTGAGAAAGAGTCGTATAACGCTATTTGAAATCTTGGTAGAAGGAGCATGCTCGATTGTATCTCAAAAGTTGTGAAATGTAAACACCAAAGGTTTGAGCTCCTTGAATATTGAAGGGAAAGTTAACTATTGGAAAGCTGAAGTCATCCCTCTTGTCAATCAGTTTTGTGGAGAGTGTTTTGTGAACCAAAAACTTGCCCTCGCGAAATCATAGCAAACCAGGAAAAACTGCAGGTCTTGGTGAATTAGTTAAAATTAATTTACTCATCACCATTATATATTGTTATTGTTTCTTTGTAATATATTTGCAACATGCGACCTCTAGTAAAATTGATATCGAAAGGGATATATCTAGATAGGTTGTTGGCTCATTTATACAATGTGTGAAGCCCATGTCTGGACGTATTGCTAAACAAATGAGAATGAAAGCGCAATTGATAGGTAAAATACGTTTGCTACAATTGTTTTTAATTTAGTGATTTTCAAATTAAGTAAAAGACACAAAACCCTTTCCATATTCATTAGAAATCTCGATTGTACGATTCCGACTATATCATGTGCATATGCATGTGTTTATGAATCAGCATCAAATAAAGATGATACCAGGTGTTCCCGAAAAGTTGAGCGTATCCTGTCTCACAGGTAGCACCCGTCACAAACACATCCAGAGGCAAGTCAATTATGCACATGATAAAAACACACGGGAACATATGGTTGAGGCCTAAAGACTAAGATTAAGAATTAATCTCATTAATATCATGGTTTTTTTCTGTTTGTTGTTTTGCTTATCTTTGTGTTACCCTAGCTGTTTCATCCTGTCCTTTCTATTTGTTGATTGCGTGATACACGCTCTTGTATCTACACTTTGCCAAGATATAATAAAACAATTTGAAATCGATATCAACACTGTCGTCATTAATGCTTCATGTTATAAATGCTACTTGAAGATACTGACAGAGAGATTTCGAGGGAAGATAATTTGTTTGATGATGGACTATCTGACCAAGGCAATCGAGACTGGCTATTCTCTGGCTTGGATGTTTTGTATATATGCCCCATTCGAGCTACATATAAGTGAAGGAATCCACTTGATGTGAACATTATTCCAAAGATCACCGATGCGTTCTGTTTAAATTAGAACATGTTCGTATATTCTTGCGTAGATTACAATCTCTGTTGTAACAATGAACAGCTGTCATCAAGGTGTTTCCACTGGGTTCATTGGGAGTAACCAAATTGTCAAGGCGTTTTGTCTTCACGACCCGGATTTGACCATCACATGTGAGGCCCATTTGGAGTCCCCCGCCGTGATCTTGATGGAATGCTGCTAAAGGTGGCCTTGTACAATCACTGGTGTTACGAGTGGATCCAATAAACAGTTTCAATTCACAACAAGGAGGGATCACACAACAATTTAAAGCAATTTAATTCCGGCAGTCTCATGTGCACTTAGGTTTGTTTTTCTCGTTTACAAAAATTGATTCTTAATATCCCATTTTGTACAGTAAATCGTTTGTTGGTATAATTCTATGAATAATACTGTATTGGAACCATTTTTGTTTTGAGGACACATTATATCGGTGGGGACTACGATTAATCGTTTGCCAATCTTTTTCCGTCATGTTAAGGCCAAGATCTAGTTCTTTGAATGTATTTTGGAATATGATATTGTTGGATACTCTATTTAAGATATCATAAAATACCCTATAACCCCCCCCCCCCACACACACACACACCCCTCTCCACTAAGTTTTTAAGGAAATATGGTATTAAGGGCAGATGCAACTTAGATGTTGGGGCTATACTCTTATGTCAAGGATATCTTGCGATCTTCTGATTTGGTTTACCGACCATCTGACAAGTGTGACATGTTCGAAATGTTCTACAGATTTTTTCTAAAATCAGTCGGAACTCCTGGCCAATAGAAATGAGGTCTGACAGGATGTGTATATACATTTTCTATGTCTTCCTGCATATCGCATGGTACGTATCTCACTTGCTTTAGGAAGATCAGATACAATATCTTCTCAAATATCATTGCCCGTGATAAGCGATACACTTGGCACTGGTAAAGTTGACATGATTCCCGTTCTATACATCCTATCACCAAATCTGACTTTAAATGGACTACATGAAGAGGTACCTTAATGTAACAACCTATTCCTCGCATGAGTACGCTGGTTCCAGTGTAAGTTTTCTCAGAAAATGGTAGATCATCTTCTAGCATAAGAGTCTGGAGGGCTCCAGTATCTCTGAGGATATCTATAGGTCTTGAGACAGAGCTATCTTCCACTAAGGATACCATTCCTCTAGACATAAGAGGTGAATAACCCTTTTCGGTATTAAAAATTATTTACTTGCACATCTTCAGCCAGGCATTTGCTGTGATATCACCGAAGCCAGAGCATGTGGCCCCTGCTCATTCTGATCTTAGTTTTTCACTTTCCAACATGCACTTATCAAATTCCCTTTTTCTTACAATATGATCAAACTGGTCCTGAAATCATCATTCCTGCCGACATGGATACATTGTACCCCTGAGGAAAATTACTTGCCACACCTGACACCTGGTTATTGTCAGGGCCTCAAAATGATGACTGAGAAAATCCACAACCTGTAAAGTTACGACCTCTTTCATTTGACCATGAAGAATTACTCCCTGTAGCATTTGACTGACTGAAAGAACTAAACCTTGAGCTTTCTGCAATACCGAGGCGTTCATTTATGAACGATAACGAAATATGACAGTATCAAAGGTTAAATCTTTGTATCACCATTGTTTTAGAGTTAAAATCAACAAGGTCAATTTAACATCTCAGAAATGGGTTTCACACATTGTACCCATATTTGGAATCGAACCCGGTTCTTCCGCGTGACGAGCTACCCCATCCGCCCCAGACGGAAAATAGGGTTCTGAGATTAGAGGAATACCCTGGCTAAAGCCAACTGCGTTTCTCATGTTCCAGCCGTCCCACTGCGTTTTTCGTTGAGCTACAGGTAGTCGTGGAACAGTTTCTAATAGACAACGCTTTGGCAACAAAGACCCCCATCCCCTACCACAACACACACATGATTATTTGGGTACCAGATGGCATCGTAATCATGCTTAATATAGGGTAGATACATATGTGCTTATGTATTTGGTACATGCATAAACTCTTCTATGCATTTCTGTTTTTGAAGAATATATATTTGAAAAATTGTCAAAGTGAGTGATAGAATTGGGTTTAGAACAGCTTGGAATGGTTTTTAGTTATATTACGGCATGTCAGATTAATGTTGGAGGAATACCTAAAGCGATACAGATCTTTCAAGAATACCACTTTGGTGGAAACAACGAGCATCGGTTTAGTGTTGAAAAGCCAAGAGTGAGGTGAAATTGAGTTTAACGTCGCGTCCAAGATTATTGCACTTATATAGCGACGTGCATGCACGTGTATGTGTGTGTGTGGCTGCTTGTACTAGTCCGGACTGATGCCGATTTATAGTGCTAGCTCACTGAGATACCATGCCGCAGTTTAACATGAATACCCCACTCAGACACAGTATACTGACTCCGAGCCGACCAGTCCTTGTTTTAGCCCCTTAATGCCGAGCGCCAGACAGGGTAACAACAAGTACAATCTTTTAACGTCTTTTTGTATGACGCGGCCCGGGATCGAACCCTGGACCTTCCGCTCTCCGGGCGGACGCTCTACCACAAGACCACGGAGGCGGTCTGAAAAGCCAAGAGTCATCATCAGAGTGTCTGTGAGATTCAGACCCACGATCATCGTGAGTGAGAGAGTGAGTGAGCAAGTGAGTGAGTATGGTTTTACGCCGCTTTTAGCAATATTCCAACAATGTCACGGCGGGGGACACCAGAAATGGGCTTCACACATTGTACCCATGTGGGGAATCGAACACGGGTCTTCGGCGTGACGAGCGTGACGCTTTAACTAATAGCCTACAACACCGCCCTGTAGATATTGTGAGAATATTGTGAAAGTGGTTGAGGATGCATGTTTGCAGGTATGAGTATGGATATACGGGATGACCATCGGACTTGGTTGGCGCCACCGCCCCTCCACGATCATAGAATTCCGGCACGACTATGACGACATAATAATAATGATTATGTAATGAATTTAATGAGACTGTCCAACACATTGTCAGTGGATGCCCCTTTTGGCACAAAAACAGTACCTTAAGCAACACGAGGGAATGGCTCTATAATTTTATTACCGTCTTCGCCATGCTTGTGATTTTGACCTTTTTGATCAATCCAATGAAATCATTTATATCTTTGAATTTTCTGTCCCTTTTGACACCAATGTGATTGACAAGATTGAGAAAAAACATGACAAATATGCAGATCTCACTTTCGAAATGTCACGCTTGTATCCCAAGTACCAAGTTGTCCGACTCCCGATTGTTCTCGGTGCCTTAGGTTTGGTCCCTAGGCAGAGCTTCCTGGGAGAAGTCCCATTTGCTGTCTTGGCTGCGTGTAGAGGGGAAGGGCCATGTGCTGCTGATGATGATGATAATAATGATGATAATAATAATAATAAAAATAATAATAATAATAAAAATAATAATAATAATATAGTTTATTACAGTGTCATGTGTTAGAAAGTAATACAACACTGAGCACATACTTAAAATATAAACACAAGGTCTCAGAGGGCCGAAATGACACCTTAAGATATTACAAATATTAAAATACAATTAGATATACACATATTCACTAACATAATCACATAATGCATGCATTCATGCATGCATACACACATACATATATACATATATGTACATACAGCA